GAACAGAAGGGGTTTTGAATTCACAGAGCCTTCGGTCTATATTCCAACTGTCTTACCAAGGAGCAAAGTTACTTAGATGGTGCGTCTATGTGTTCATAGTCAGAACATTCATTCCAGATAAGTATGCATGCTTAGTTTGTCTTCCAGTTGACTGTGCGCACTTTAGGTGGAGAAATGGTTTCCACCTTTGCTTTATCCCCCTGTACAATAAGAATGGTATGGCACACCTTCAGGATTGCTGCTAAGCTTAACCTGGCAAATGGACATACAAGAGCCCAGCATGGGGCCTGGCACATGTGCTTAACAGCACAGTGGTTATTAAGATGTCTGCCATTCTAGTGATAGTATCATTTTCTTCCCTTCAAACTAGAGACATTTGTCCATGTGACATGCATATCAAGCACTCGCAGATAAACTGAGGCTGGCCACAACCAGTCATTCTCCATGTGGCCTTTCATGAGCTCTCTGGGTGGGACGTCTTCAAACATGTCAGTAATACTCTAAGCACAGGAACTAGATTTATGGCAGGGCAAAACAGCTTATGGTTACATCTGCCTTTATGGAAACTATGCAGCAGTCTGGATAGCATGGCTTACAACACAAGAGCTGCTAGGTTAAAAGTGAGTCTGGATGGTTTCCAAATGGATGTAGTCCAAATGTTAACAACCAAGAGTCACAAAGGTACTTGATGTTTGGAGCTGCCATACTCTCAACTGCGCTCAAAAACTAACTGAAGTCAAAGGCTAACTGTACCAACACTCATACATTCATGGAAGCTGTCTGAAAATTCTCCCCAGGGCAACTGGATGCATCTTGTCTGTTCCAACTTATGATGGCTCATAGAAAAGCAACAGGTCAAGGATTTTCACAAAGATTCTTTAGGGTAAGTGATGACAAGTGCTATCATCAATTAGGTAAAGCAATCCAAGTCAATTTAAAAAATCCAAGTTCTTTGGTTCTGTTTTTGTTTTCTACCCCTTTGATTCTTAATGGCTTTGCTAAGACATTACAAAGCCACATAATATCTGATGTGTACACTGAGAACAGAAATAAGGTAGTTGTTGCAGTGCATGTTTTAGAGATAGAAGGGACATGGTATTGCCATGCAAACAGACAACTCTGCAATCCTGAAAAATTCGTCAACCTTCTCAAGTTTGTGCCCCACACGTTTTATGGGACATAGACCATTTTGGGAGAAGGCTAGAAACCCCACTGGATTTAGAAGATGCAGGCAGGACCTTTGTAAAGACTGTGACACTGGGCAGTTTCATAGAGGCTAAAGGTGAGCCAGTGGGGAAGAACAACTGCTGGAACTTTCTCCTTTAGAAATTATTAAGGATGAAAGTTAAATGCACTTCTAGTTTGCAGGATGGCACACACTTTTAGTACCAGTATTGTGGGAGGCTGAGGCAGGAGGATCTCAGTCTGGGCAATCTAGCCACTTCGAGTAACCCCTTCTCTTTCTAAAAGAACAAAAACAACAAAAAAGGATGTAGCTCAGGGAGAAGGCTCTAGGTTCAATTCCCAGACACACACACATGAGCCAAAATTACATTTACATTGCTAGGCTTAATTACTAAACAGTATGCTTATATTTGGATTCTGATAAATGATTGTATGCATATCCACATGTGTATACACATACACCTATTAATTTTATTAAGTTTCCTTATGGGACTCTGTCTGTATACTTTAAAGTAGAGATAAATTCTCTTATGATTTAAACTCACATTTTGTGACCCTAGATCAGTGTTTCCTATCAGTGCCACGATTCCAATAGAGCAGAGGCTCAAATTTACTTCATCCAATTCCTCCAGGGCAGTGCTCTTGCCTTGTCGGCATTTAAGGCTCAGAGGGAGCAGCTGGGATGTTGCCTGGGTAGTGGACATCCTGTGAAAAGCACTGCATGTGGGTAAAGTACACTGAGCAAGCATGAAAATTCCCAGTACTCTGAAAGGCTGGCCCTGGGCTAGGGTCAGACCCAGAGAGAGCAGCAACTGCCATGAATAAAGAGTGAGCCAGGTTGGTCCGTTGCAAGTCTACACTCAAGCACATGGCCGCTGGTGTTTTCAAACCTGGTGCTCAGGCACAGTCGGCGTAAGCAAGCCACACATAAATGGAAGGTCTGTGTTTCCTCAACCAGGGAAAATGAACAAAGATAAGGAAAATGTGTAGAGGGTCTGAACAATTAAGGGCTTCCATTTTGCACTACTCTAAACTCCAGTGCCCTAAGTGGCATGGAGCATGCCCACAATTGCCCACCCTGCGTGGGCATCTTTCCAGAAATCCAGCTAATTTAGGGCCTTCTTCCCACCAACTGCCAGGCACCAGCAGTCTATGTTCCAAACGTTCTTATTTGCCTGAGGATTGCCCTGCCAAATGGAAAGTCCTAGAAGTTGGCTTAAAAACACACTGTGGTGAAATGTGAGAGAATCATAATAATAGCAGAGCTGGTAATTGGGAAGCTAAAAAAGAAACTATTTTATTAAAACTGTGATCTGTCCCATGTTTTTTTGTTTTGGTTTTTGGTTTTTGGTTTTTTTCCAGTACTGGGAATTGAACTCACAACTTTGCGCTTGCCAGGCAGGCGCTGTGCCGCTGAGCTAAATCCCCATGTGAAACCGCTGATCTGTCCCATGTTAAACCTACAACCTACCATAAGAAGGGAACTTATCCCAGCCAAAATCCGATGGGCAGTGCTTGCACTTTAGGCCAAGCAGCCATAGAAGAGAGCAGGTAATTCATAAAATGGGCTCAGTGTCTTGTACTTTTACTAATGCTTCCTGTGGAGAACTGCACTCTTACCGACTACATTGTGTACCACTCTGCTATAAAGCGCTGCTTTCTAAAAGGCAGCTTCCAACTGTAAACCTCCAGTGATGAGTTTATTTCTGTTAGTTACAAACTACTAAAATATTGCGTTCTATTGTATACATAGAAAGCAGCATATTTCACCACGGTAGCCTAACATGCTTTTGGCATAAGATCATCTTACATTGGAAAATGATTTTCATGTTTGTAAACATACATTAATTTTCCAAATGTGTGTGTGTGTGTGTGTGTGTTTTAGTGTGTTTTTAATGCGGGTAAGGTTGAGGTAAGGGATGAGGATAACAAGGCAAAGGACAGTTTATATAATTAATGAAAAAGCCAAAATGAACAGTATAAAGATGACTTTGATTTCTGTATTTCCATATAGTTTGGTCCTTATGTCAGGGTTGTGGTTTTATTTACCCCATTCTCTTGTATATTACCACTATCTAAAATGGAGGATTCTTGGCTGTTGAAGTTTGAGCTTTGAATGAGAAGGTGCAGATCAGGCCAGAAATCCAAATAAGATGGCCGGTGGTGGGACCAGGGCTTTGGGGCTTTGCTGCTACACAGCAACAAGAAGGCGGAGTTGAACTGGCATTGACTTCGTCAGAGCCTCTATGTGACTGTCATTCCCAGTTGTTGTATGCAATTATTTATGGTCTTCCAAAAGGTGAGCAATTTGCTTCAAGTGTGTCATTAGGCCACTTCAATGCCATAAATTGTTTCATTTGGAAAAATCTTCAAGCATGTACTTTTACACAGACAAGTCAACTTCCATTTCTATTATTGGAAAGAAAGAGGTCATGAGAGAAATACTCCCTTGATATACTCTTGGACAAATGAGTATTTAAAAATCCCCAATAGTTAATCTGGAGAAATTAGTTTCTACAAAGTCCTCTTCCAGGCAACATTAATAAAAAATGAAGACAGTGCTGAACAAATTGTAGGGCCCTGGCTTCTGAACTTCAACCTGGCACCACGTAATCTCTTACTCTCTCTCTTCCCAGCTGATATTATTTGTCTGCTTAACACATAGATGCCAGATGACCTGCAAGTAGTCTTGGGCTTACTGGCCATAGGAAGCCACATGACATTTCATGTCTGATCATGGCTGTCTAGATGCAGCCCTTATCCAGCCTAGTCAGCTGTAGCTGACTATTGTGTATAATGATGCCTGTAGCTAACATTACATGATGTCCAAACAAGTAGTCAGATTGTGGCCAGCAAGTCACAGTGTTGTTTTTCTTTTTCACTAATATCCCATTGCTTTGCTATCCCAGAGACTGACCCAGCCTGTGTCTGCATCACTGGAGAACCTCATAGTGATCACAGTTATTGGTACTATTACTTACCATGGGTCCTATAGCCTGAGCATTGGGAGACACCTAAGATTCATATGTTGAAATCCTCACCCCCACAGTGATGGCATTCAAAAGTGCTATCTTTGGGAAATGGTTAGGTCATGAGAGTGGAGGCCTCATCAATCGGGTTAGTGTCTTCACATATTTTTTTGTCTTTAATTATTTTTTTTTTGACTTTTGAGACAAAGTCTTGGCACTTAGATTGACCTTGAACTCATGGGTCTCCTGTCTCAGCCTCCCAAGTCAGTGCTGGGATTACAGGTGTGTATTGCCATCCCTGACTTTTAAAGGAGACTTCAGAGAGACTGCTGATCCCTTCTTCCATGCGAGGGTAGGGTGAGAGGGTGGCTAGCCATAAGTAAATGGGCTCTTACCAGATATCTTTTTTGCTGTTGCTTGAGGCTCTGATTTCCTGGCCTTCAGAACTATGGAAAACATACTGCTGTTGTTTATTTATTTATTTATTTATTTATTTATTTATTTTTTGTTGTTGTTGTTGTCTTTTCTTCCGGTACCAGGAATCGAACTCATGACCTTGCGCTTGCCAGGCAAGCGCTTTGCCGCTGAGCTAAATCCCCAGCCCACTGCTGTTGTTTATAAGCAACCCAGCTTATGGCGTTAAAACAGTGTGAATGGAGTGAGACCACGGGAAATCTGATTCGCCTCCCAACCAAAGTACATATTACTGTGAGTTGGGGTTCACAGTGTCAAGGACTGGGAAAGAAAAAGAGAAGAAGAGCTCAGCATCGAGACACTATTTCCTTGCCCAATACACAAGAGGGTTAGTTTGGGAACTCAAGTACTCACAACTTGAATGATACTGACTTTGTAGAAGCTCTGCTGGTTGGGTCACTCCACTCTGAAAAGAAAGGACACAATTACCGTTCATGTTTCTACTGTCAAGTGATTATTCTGAACTAAGCTAGATTCTAAAAAGTTCCACAGTTTATTGCTTCCTGCCAAACAGATGAAAAAAAATGGATCTAATTGGATGTATGAAACATAACAGTGTGTCATTGTTGCTCTTTCACGTTTTAATGATATTGAGAGGGAAAGAGGGAAAAGTGAGAGAGGAGAGAGCAGGGATTCTTCAGCTAAGAAGAAATTTCCAAAAACCACTTACTTTGTAAGGTGAATCCTGGAGTCAGATGTTGAGATTCCTGTAAGGAAGAACACATCGCATAAAAACGTGAGTTAAATGATACAAGAGGAACAAAGTATATCTGTTATTTGCTGAAGATACAACGACAAATGTTTGCAAATAGGAAACCACTGCTAACAATTACATTAATTAGGCTTCTGTCTGTAGCTCTGTTTGAAGAATAAATATTTGCTAGCCAAACCTGCTGTGACATGATTATAACAGCCATTTTTATCAGGATTATAAGTAAGGCTGGTGTCTACTTGGAAATGTGCGCCTCATGGGAACAAATGACCCATATGTGTGAAATTCAAGGGTATAATTTCTCGCTGAGCTAGGCAATGATGCCTCTACAGAGTACAGGGGACCTCGTTCAAATAAATGATCACGGCTTTTGTAAAACTGTAAACAGGAATAGAATATAATTAATAGATATGCTAAGTTTTCCTTGCTTTATAGAAACCACTCTAACTTTCTACCTCAGCTTCAATAGCTGTACTTCATTGAACAAGAGAAGAATGTTGATAAAACTTGATTACAAGTGGAAATATAGGAAACAATTTGGAATATGGTAGTGGAGTCTGTAATCTAAATAGATTTAAATCTGATTTGAAAGTCAATTTTAAAAAATTCATTCACTATTTTGAGAAACCTAGATTTGCACACACAGGGCTTGCTGGGAGTGTGGCACATGTGTGTGGATCCTGACAACATGGCCAGACAGAAGAACGACAATGCTGTTTGGGTCACACAACACCATGGGGCTTGGTGACAGAATCAGTATGACTGCAAAGCAAATATTCCCAAACAAGGGCCAAAGAACTCAAGTAAATAGAAGAATTAGCTGTGCATTGCTGCTATCAATAATGTGAAATTTAATTAAGGTGAAACTTAATCTCACCACTCTATACAGAGAAATAAAAGATTACAGTATAATTTATCTTTTTATTTTAAAGACAGTAGTAAAAGAAAAAAAGAACAATAGCAGCATACCAACGTCACAAACATAAACAAAACACAGCAAGCACATTAAAAGTGATAGAGGGTTTCAAAACAAAATGATAGGAATTAACAGTGGTTGTTATATTACATACTGTTATCTTCAACTACTTTGCTCAGATTACTAGATGGAAGAATGAAAGACTGTTCAAACCATTAAAGAGAATACAAAAATAATTATTAGATAAAGCATTAGAGATAATACAGAGTTTCACCAGACAAGATGGTAGGAATTCACCCATGGTTGTTCCATTGCATATTGTCTTCAGATCAGTTGCTCAGATTAACTGATACAGGTATGCAAAATTGGTCAGAATATTAAAAAATTTCAGCATTAATTGTTCCTTTCAATATACCATCAGACATCAGAAGTACAGTTATAATTTATCTTTAAAGGCAGTAAGTAATAACTATACCACCATGCTTTAATCCAAAGTGAACTCTCCGATCTATTTACCACTGCTCTGTTGCCCAAAATAAGAGTCTTCCTTGATAATCGCAAGAGGTGACAAAGGCCTCTATCATGATGTCTACACACTTTGCTGCTCAAAGTCTTCTGTCCCCTCTTTGATAAAGAACTGCCTTTTGACAAGGAGCTCTCTATACACCTTGACCATTTGATTTCCCTGCTTAGCAAATCACAGATGGCAAAAAAGGGAAAATAATTCTAGAAGCCAAGTCACTGGGAAGGAATGCTGAGATGTAGAAATGAACAGCACAGAAATCCATGGAAAGTGACACAGCAAAGTAAGAATTTGACAAACACATGAGTCTATGATCATTCAACGTAGAGACATGCATTCTTTCCTTGTAGCCCCTAAAGGCACAATTACATCAGAGTATAATACTACATCAAAATACAGTAGCTATGTTCATACTATCTGTGTTATCAGGAACAACTAAGGTATAGTCAGTATAATCTTGAAGGGAAGTCAGGAAAACATGAATTGCAATTCCAAGTCATTTCTCTTTCTTAGCTAGTATGTAAGGATAACCTTCAATTATCCAAGAATTCTATTTATCCAGAACATTGTATCTACCATTTGTATCTACTTAACTATAAAGTGATATTTCCCTTATTTTTCTAAGGGTTTTATTTTCAAGTGACAAGTCATGTTTGGACTTGTATACTTTTAGGAAATCAAATGACAAGTTCCATAGTCATTCAAATCAAATGTCAGGTTAAAGAGTAAAATATATAGCCAGTTTGGGTATTGGACTTGTAAACCTGACTTATAAAAAATCTTCATCTAATTATTTTGGTTTTTTAGTTTATTTTTAGTAGTACACATTTCTCTGACATACTGATCACATGCATCATAGGGAATTTGTACCTGTACATAACGTATCTTAATTCTTTGTTTTCCCCATTCTCCTCCCCTCCAACCTCTCCTGCCCTCCCCATTTACAAAAGCTTTGTTTCCATTTTTCCCTTCCATTCTTGTTTTTCCCTTTTCTGCTCCTTTCCTTCCTCCTCTCCCTCCTTAGTTCCCCTTCCCATATGAACATTTTCTTCCTGCTTCCCAATATTTATCATCCATTTTGGGCCTTATTTATGCTTTTAGTTTCTCCACAAGAGAAACAATGTGATATTTAAACACATGTGTCTGATTTATTTCCTTTAAGAGTATGGTCTCAAGGTGCACCCATTTACCTAAAAATGTCTCAAGTTTATCTTTCTTTACAGCAGACAAGTACTCCACTGTATATGAAAACCACATTTTCTTTGTCCATTCATTCATTAATGGACATCTAGGCTGTTTCCAAGATTTAGCTATTACAAATGGTGTTGCTCTATACATGGGTGTGCACATACTGCTTTTAACCCTTTTGGGCAGACACCAAGAAGGGGAATAACTGGGTCAAAAGGAACCTCTAATTTTAGTTTTTCAAAACATCTCCATATTGATTTCCATGTTGGTTGTACCAGTCTGCATTCCCACCAGCAGTGGACAAGGATTCCTTTTCTTCCCCCACAGCCTCACCAGCATTTGTTGTTAGTTAATTTCTTGATGACAGCCATTATTTCTGGAGTGAGATGGAATCTCAGTATTATTTTAATTTGCATCTCTGTAACAACCAGTGATGTTGGACATTTTTTCATGTATTTATTTTTCATGTGTACATCTTCACCTGAGAAGTGTCTATTCATTTCAGATGCCCACTTTTGAATGGGTCTTTAAATTTAGGTGAGGGAGGTTCTAATTTTTTTGAGTTCTTCATGTGTTCTAGAGATTAGTTGTTTGTTTGAGTAATACCTGGCAAAAAATTTTCCCATTTTGTAGGTTATCTCTTCACTCTTTTGGTGTTTTCTTTTACTGTGAAAAAATTTTTTAATATGATGAGATCCCAGTTGTTGATTCTTTTAATCTTTCTTATGCAATTGGGGTTTTGTTCATAAAGTCTTTGCCTACACCTATACCTTCAAGAGTTTTACCTATTCTTTTTTTCTTTGAGTTTTACCTATTCTGTCTTCCAGCAGATTGAGTGTTTCTGGTTTTTTTTTATTTTAAAGATAAAAGAAAGAAAACACATTAACAGACACATTGAAATTTACAAAATAACGCAAAAACAATACAAGCAGTACATATTTTCAGACAAAATGGTAGGAAATTAACAATGGTGGCTGTATTACACATTGATATGTTCAAGTTGGATACTCAGATAAACAAAGATAGGCATGTAAGATTGATCTAACAATTACACATTAACTATTCCTTTCAATAAAGCAATAGAAATCAGTAGTACAACTGTCTTAGCTATTCTCTGCATACCTATATACATATTTTCCCTTATTTCTTTCTTTTCTCTTTTCCCTCATCCCAGCTACTCCTGTCCTTGAGCAATATTTAGAATTTTAATATTTAATCAAACTTATTTTGATTTTAATTTAGTGCATGGTGAGAGAAATGGGTTAAGGTTTCATCTTCATCATGTGGAAAGCCTGTTGTCCCGGTGCCATTTACTAGAGGCTGTCTTTCTTCCATTTTGGGGTTTGTACCCAAACAGTCATTCGTTCCAGAGCATCAGTGGGGTGATCCATGGAGTAAATAAGACTGTTTTACTCACTGATGTAAGTAATAGATATTATACATTCTGGATAATTTTTAATGTGGAACTTGATAGACATTAAACCAAAAGTCCAAACAAATGAAACATCTTTGTATATAACCAAAGTCACAATACATAGACACCCAACCCTATCTTTTATAGCTTGGTCATAGAAAAGATCTGCATTGTCCATCTAGTAATTGTTAATGCATATAGTACAAATTAACAAAAATCTGACTCTGATCTGTGCATATTTCATAAACATGTCATACATATTAAAAATACTGTTGTAAAACTGTTTTCAGAAACTTATGTGAGACCCGTTTATATCATCGCCTTGATAATAATCCTATAATCAGAGGATCCTATAGGATCTAGATTCTAAAACAGAGGTCAGCTAACTTTTTCCACAATGGCCAGGTAGTAGCTATTTTAGGCTTTGAGCCACATTCTGTCTGTATCACAACTACCAAATTCTGCCACTACAGCACAAGTGAGGGTGGCTAGCTTTGAAGAATGCTTGATGTATTGACATCAAGATTTGAATTCCACGTTCATGATCATATTATTTACATTATCATGTTATTTTTCTTTTGATAAGTTTAACCATTTACATTTTTTTTAGAAAACCAAAAACTTAGGGGCTGTAGCATGCCAATCTCTCTTCTAGAGGATGTTTCCTGCATTAAACTTCCCCTAAGGACACTATAGCTCCCTTAATTGAGCTTAGCATGTCTTACCCCTTCCTTGTAAGTTTCTCAATGCTCTGAGAAAACGCATTTTCAATTTGGGATTGGTAAGAAAACTTAAATTGATTATTGTTTTTATAAATTTATGGAATGAGATTACTTATCCTAAAGAGGAAATGAAGGCTCGGAGGAACTTGAACAGGACCACACAGCCAGCAAAGGGCAAGGGCAGAGCCAGGATTAAAAGCATAGGGGATCACAGCTCCTATGGCAACATTCC